ATGTCCCGCGCTGGCCGCGTCCACTGGCTCCGCGTGATGGTTATGATGGCTGCACATGCCGGTCGCCTGACACGGGCCCACGACGGCTTCATGCCCACCTGCATTTGATGTCTCCTCCAAGCGCGTTGAAAGCTGAGATCGTCAACTGAGCTGTGCCAAAGTGCCTTGGCTCACTGCCAGACTGGAACCTGGCTAGCCTCGACGGTGGGGTCATGTCCTCATGCTGCCAACTGGAAGGTGAGAGAGTGGTGAGCGCTTGCCTTGCGGCCTTACGAAGACCTTGAAGGTGCCGATCAGGGAGGCCAAGGCATGTGGTGCCTTACAGGAGGGAGCGCTTGAGGCCGGTCTTGTAGGCCAGCGCTATTCCTCTGGCCATGCGTCTGCCTTTCTGGAGTGGAGCCGCCCTCGACGAGCGCCATCCGATACGTGCAGTACGTTTGCCCAGTTTCGCTTTGTTGGCCGTGGTGCGGATAATCATGTCAACTTCGAGGTGCGGCACGGTGGACACCATTGGCACGCGTATGCCACGACGCTTGAGTGGTGCGTCCACTCTAGTTATTGTGCAGCCACCGCGAATTGTCCAGCTGGGCAGCCTTGCCCTTGTCGTCCACCGAGAAGGTCACCCCTGTATAATCATATTACATACTTATACGCAGATAGTAGCCAGCGTGGACCCCAAACAGGATGGTTCTAGCAGCATTTGCTGTGCAATCTAGGTGCAATGTTTGTGGTGCAGTTCATTTGCCGAATTTAAAATTGTCAAATCCACTGCTCGCGCAATCATCCCACCCACCCACCCGCAATCTCGTTTGCACAACCCATGCCACGGCGATTCCGATGACTGCTGGGTGTTGGCTGGTGCATGTCTGCGGCCGCGCTAGCCCGCACATGCTCGCGCGCGCAGCGGCCAGCTAGTTTGGCGCGACCGACGCGAACGCGGTGGCGCTGACCGCTCGGCACATCCCAGCGGGCACTTCAGTGCGAGTCAGCGACTTGGGCGGGCGCGCGGTATCATGGTAACGTCGACAACGGTGGACACGATGATGATAGCAGCGATGCTGGCGGCGATGTTGGCAGCGACGACAGGGCAGCCAGTGACGGCGCCTATGGTGATCACGCCGACGACGGTGACGGCGCATTCGCGTCGGTGATTAAGGTCTTGGAAGGAATTCGAAATACGCGCGCGGCCGACCCGCGAGACTGGCTCGCATGGTTTGACTCGACACGGATCGTGCCACATGCTCGCAAAGGCGTTCGAACGATTCCGACATGCGCGCACGAAGCCCGTTTGGTAGCATGTTATGAAAATGTTGAAAACTTGTGGCTATCCTAAGAAATCGCCAGAGCGCGCGCGCACACTTCAGTTGAAAATCCGTGTTGCGAAACTTTGCTGTGTATAAAGAATTGGGACATTCGGTTTTTCAAATCTTCCGGAACCGAAGGATTTTGAAGGCTTTCGGCACGCGCGCGCGACGGCGCGCGCGTGTGCACGTCGTCCCGTTTTTCTTGTTGCAAAGGACTTTTGGCAAGTTATGATTGTGGATAGACGAGTGTGCGCGCATAGTATTTGTTAGAAGGGAACCGATGGGGGGGCCGATATTGGCCTGGCTGGGATAATATCAACTCACTGGTAGGATGGACATTGGGTCAGAATCATATGTGTTTTGCATAGGTTCCCGGGGAGTCGATACGTCCGGGAGGGGGCAGAACTTTTTCTCACATAAAAAAAGAGAATCTAGGTTGTGCAATGTATATTGTGTAATATCTGTGGCGCAAAATATGCGGTGCAGTCTATGTGGTGCATCCAGTTTGACTGTCTTGAAGCTGTCCTCTCCTCTGCTCGTGCAAACATCCCACCCTCCCACCCGCAACTTGGTCGCAAGACCTCTAAGACCGTGACGGTGGGTACCAAATTACACTTGGCAACGACACCGACGCCGACGACGACAGCGACAACGACGGCACCGACGACGACGACGCCGACGATTACGACAACACCGACGACGACATCGACGACGACGACTTCGACGACGACGACGACGACGACGACGACAACGACGAGGACGACGAAGACGACGACGACGTCGCCAACGAAAACGACGAGGGAGGAGGGAGAACGACGACGGTGACAACGACGACAACGACGAGGGAGGAAGGAGGACGGCGACGACGCGAACGACGAAGAAGGAGGAAGGACGGCGACGCCGAAGACGACAACGACGAGGGACGAGGGACGACGACGACGACGACGACGACGACGACGACGGCAACGAAATAGGAGGGACGACGACGAGACGCCGAGGACGGACGACGACGACGACGAAGGAGGAGGAAGGACGACCACGGCGACAACGACGACAGAAACGACCACGACGCCAAAGAGGACGACGACGACGAACACGAGGAAAGACACAGGACGACGTAGGCGACGACGACGACGACGACGCGGGAGGAGGGAGGACGGCGACGACGACGACGACGACGACGCAAGAGCGCGCGCGCACGCTTTCGTTGAAAATCCGTGTTGCGAAACCTTGTGTTTATGTAAGTTTTTTGGACACACGATTTTGAAATCCTTCCGAAACCGATGGGTTTTGAAGGATTCCGGCATACGCGCGCGACGACGCGCGCGTCTGCACTTCGTTTTTCTGTTGCAGAGGATTCTCGCAACGGCACGCGCGCAAGGGCGTTCGACTGATTTCGACATGCGCGCGCGAAGCCCGTTTGGTAGCATTTTGTGAAAATGTTGAAAAACCTCTGGTTTTCTTAAGATTTCGCAAGAGCTCGCGCGTAAGTTTTTTAAGCAAATCAGTGCTGCGAAACCTTGTGTTCTTGTATGTTTTTGGGGAAACTCGATTGCAAAATCCTTCCGGCACCGAAGGTTTTTGAAAGATTTCGGCATGCGCGCGCGACGACGCGCACGTGTGCACTTCGTCCCACTTGTTGCAAGAGAGTCGCGGAAAAGTGTTATGTTAGAACAAAAGATGTCCCCGCGTATCGTTTTCTACAAGGGAACCTCCAGGGGGTCGGTACCGGCCCCCATTGGGATAGTGTAAATTCATATTTAGGATGGTCATGTGGTCAGAATCAGATACGATTTACATACCCGACAGGGGAACGGATAACGCCGGAGGAGGTGGTAGAGTCTATTCTTTTTTTAGAAAGAGGAAATTCAGGGCCAGCTCCCTAGAAGAGACGTAAGAAACCCCAAGTACAAACATTGTTTGGGGAACTGATACATCCATCATCGAAGTCTTGCCTACAGAGGCCGACCGGATTGGGAACGTGCTTGGCCAATTGGCCGTGTGTGTCTCGCTGCTTGATGCTGAGGTCACCAGTGTACACTCGCTACGAAACCAAGGGATAGTGAACAACGAAGTTGTCCAACGGTCTTGCCATGATCAGCCGTAAAAGCGCGACCGACAATTTGCGATCTGCAATGATGTCAGTGATGTTGTTGATGGTCTGGTTTTGAGAACCTTGTAGCCGCCTAGCCACGGAGAAGTAGAACATGGCCTCTACCAGCAGCTCGAGTGGGAAGTCGTGGGGCTTGCGCACGTGTCACAAAATGAAGAGCTGGTCTTTTCGAATGACTTTGAGACTTTGACTAAGTACAAGATGGGGGTGGCCGCGGAGAGGGTTTGTTCGTCAAGGGAGTCCATCTCGTCCCCATCGTGTGCCAGCCAGAGTAGTTGAGGTTTCTCCTCATCGACGTCCTATTGCTCTTCCGCCTCCTCAGTCCTGCTCACACCTGCCTCCTACAACCCCTCCTCTTCTTCCTCCTCCTCCTCATCCTCCTCCTCTTGACCCTTCCCCTAGCTTCTCATCCTCCTCCCCCTCCTCCCCCTCCTCCTACATCCAATCGTCGTCTTCATGGGGCCCTCTTGGGGCTGCTTTGAGACCCTCTTGGGCCGTCTCGCGGGCCACTAGGCCCGATCACGGGCAAGTGTTGGGCCGTCGATGGGCTTTATTGGTTTGTCTCAGGCGTCTTGGGGCCGATTGGGTTCACTCTTGGGGCTCCCTTGGGCCGTTTGGCGGACTTCTTGGGCCTTTGGCCGTTTGGCCGTCTTCGTCTTGGGTCTGGTTTGGGGCCCTCCTGGAGCCATATTGAACCGATTCAGAAGTCACCACAGAATTTTGTATGTGCGTCTTGGAGGCCTCTTGAAGCTTCCTTCGCTCTTGGGCCTCTTGGGAGCTCGTGCACTGCCTTGAAGGCCTGTTCGACCGTCAAGGCGGCATTCTGGTGCCCCACCCTATACTTCTCAAGCGAGTGATTTGGTAGTCGCAGCGGGGGAGGCAGGTCAACCTCGCACAATTCGCTGGCAGGCACAAAAAAGAGTCGACGGAATCACTCCTAAAGATGGTCTTGTGGTCGACATTACACCACAGCCGCGCGCGACACCTTGGCTCCTACATGTTCCGCATTTGCAAGGGCACGCGCCCGTGCTGGCTCGAACCACCAAGGTAAGATGACGTCGAAGGAACATAATGACTGAAACACCATACCTTGCCATGCAGCCGATGAAGCCGCACGGTGGGAGGGTGCCAGTTTTACAAAATTTGAGGCGGGGAGGAGGAGGAGGAGATGGAGGAGGAGGAGGGGGAGGAGGAGGAGGATGGCTCTCGCCCTTGCGATGTAGGCTCCCCTAAAATAAACAAGGCCGCCACGAGCGTCTCGGCCTCTCTCGAGGAAGGCAGGAAGGCAGGAAGGAAGGGTGAGGAACGAGGAGACGGGAAGCGGCCGGGACGTCCGCACAGTCAAGACGCTCAAGTCAGGACCACTTGGGGCCCAGGAGGGGCTCTGGCTTCCGTGCCGCTCCTCGGACCTCTGGGTCGGGGAGCCTGCTCCTGGCCAGAGAGGCTCGCCGCGGCCAGAGGGAAGGCCCCTCCCTTCTTCGCCGGGCGTCCCCTACGACAGCGCACCATGGCCGTACCTCCCTGGGCCGAGCCCCCGCCTCGGCCGCCTCCGCCGCGCCGCCCTCCGGGGGGCTCCGCGGCCC